AAGCTCTGATACCAATTCAAATCTCTAGAAACAAAGAATTATAAGAACAACTTTTCTTATTAGCTTTAGAAACTACTCAAAACTAAAGCTCACAATGTTTCTCTTAGATCTCTTAATCTACTCTCTTAGATCTTCTGGAACACCTCTCCATAGATCTCTATTTATATGCAAGATAATTCCCTTGAACATGTGGGATATGGAAAACACAAACTAATCTAATAGAAAACTTCCTTTTCCTATTTCTAGATTTCCTTATTGTGTTTATCCTTAACATATTAAACATCCAATAATATGTTAAGTTTCCACAAGCTTGGAATTACCCAACATACTCAAGAAATAAAGTAGACATACAATTATAATACTATACGAAGTCAAGTCGATACAGATTCTATGAAATTCGATAGTAGCATGGTCAGGTAAACTTGAGCTATGGACTAAGGAAAGAAGGCAGCTAGAGCAAGTTTTATGGACAAGCTCGATGAGTTAAAATTCTATATATTGTTAGTTTAGACGAATAAATATGTCTTTCATAAACATTCAGAATTTTATGTGACGTGCTATCAATTTATACATGTTACAGTCTATACCACACAATCATGTGACTGATGTTTTCCTTTATTTATATTTGATTTAATAGTTTTGGACCACTTAAAGTTAAACATGAAAGAGTTGTAAACCAAACCTTTTGAATGATATTTTAATCAGTCACTTGATTTTGTTACAACCTAGCCAATGGCATCATAATACGAATTTGATGGGATCAATATTGGTTGATTTGAGAAATGCTAAGACTTGAAAATTTATATGAAAAAACATTAATAAGAATAGAAACAAAATTGTCTTTCAAGAAAATCTTGATACTACCAAATAAGGATTCTGAAATTAATCCAAGAAGAAGGCTCATGACAGAAATGTAAAATCAAATCTACTCTCAGCCTTGATGATATCTTAAGAGAAACTTTGAGATAACAATCTTAGAACACACGGTTTGGTGGACCCATTGTACTCTTCAAGTACAAACACCTCACCTGCAAAATAAGAAACAACTCTTTTGAGTTAGGGACAGACAAAATATACAGAGGATGATGGAGGAAGATTCAGAAGTAAAGATTTTTTACTAACGTTTTGCCAGTTTTTCTTCAAGAGTGAAACAAGGAAGTTAACACTCATCTGAACATTCTGAAAGATCTGCTTCTCTTCCATGTCAAGGTTTCCAACAGCGACACCCATGCAAAGAACCTTCTTAAGTTGGAACTTCACTGTTGCCTTGGTCTCATTCACCTTGCCTTCCAAGGACTCTTGGTGACTCACAAGAGTTGGGAACTTTCCTGTTTATTTTTTGTTAATCAAAAGAGTGTCAATAATATGGTAAATAATACTAATAGAAGATTAGGTAAGTTGATGCTTAAAAACATGCCTGCCTTGTTGAGACCAGGACCAAGAAGACGAGGAATCTGTTTGATGACAGATTCAGAAGCAAGGAAAGCATGGAACTTCTTTGCTAGCTTCTTAACAAGTTTCTTGTTCTTGTTCAACTTCTTCAGTGCTTCCACATCCATAGATTCCAACCCAATCTTCTCAGCCTATAAGTAAACAACCAAAACCCCAAAAGTTACTTAACTTGCTGAACTCTTTAAACATGTTCTTAAAAAAGAGTGAAGGAAAGACAAGAAAGGCTAACCTCTTCAACGTGCTGGGCATCACCGAGCATGCAAATCTTCATCTTAGGCCTAGGAATGTGAGGCAACTTGACAGAACCGCTGAAACGCTTGTCCTTTTGTGGGTCATAGTTCTTAAGACCAATCTGGAGTTCGATGGTCTCAGTGAACTTGCGTGGCTTTGTCTCCTTACAGTGAGTGATCATGGCTGATATTGCCTCTCTCACGGCTTCACTCTGGAGCTTACTGCAATCATTCAAAAACAAAATCAAAACTTTCAATAACCTAACACTTTGTTTCCTCATAAAAGTGGTGACTTTCACTCACTGAATCAAAAAGTCTAATACTTTTTTTTTTGTATAATGAATTATCTTTTCACCTAAGCTGTTTGTGATTATCTAAAATCAACACCAATCATTTGTTGATTCCAGAGGCAAACATAATAAGATGATTCTAACGAAGTAAATCGAGTTTGAGCATACAAACCTCATTTTGGGTACTTCCTCAGATGCTGCAAGGAGGACGGCTAGAGAAGGGTTTGAGTAGACTTATATGAACCAAGCAGACAAAGAGAGAGAGACTATAACGAAACCCTAGCTCATCTTTATATAATTAAAAGCCCATTTCATATTTTAGGCCCATATTAATATGACATTTGATTGAATCATAATAATACTCTTGTAATTTTTTGAGCATTTCAACAACTTGGCTGTTGGCAAAGCTATTTCTTTTTCGACAACGTTTTTCATTTGATTTCTCAAATAAAATTGTATTTAGGCCTTTTTATGATATTTATTTATGTCTAAAAGTTTGAACTATGCAAAGCTTCAAATGTTATTATTCAGACTATACACGTCAAATCACAATCATGCTTTAACTTTTTGGAGAAAATGTTATATTTTCAAGGGTTGGAAGTTGGAACTAAGAATAAATCAAACAAGTAATCTTTTGAAATGGAAATACATATAGACTTACATTGTATATCATAATCAAAGAAGTAATCTTTTGAAATGGAAATACATATATATATTAAATCATAGTTTAATACTCGCCTCACGTTTAACTCTAACGTGTTCACTTATTTTCTGAGCACAGATGTTATGGAGTTGAAGGAAGGCATTAATTACTTGAGATTGGGTATGCGTCAGATCAGATCAGTTCAGTTCCTCTCTGTCTAATAAGTATTTTTCCTCCTCTTTATCCAAACATGAAAGAGAGATCATCCATAGGAACTTCATCAAGCCCTGCAGTATCAATATCCTGAAGACCCTCGAACCAGTTTCCTATATCTGCCTGCTCATCTATTTCCTCTAGATCATGGAACGCTAGCTTTGAGAAATCTATTGGAGCTTCCTCATCTACTCCTGAGATGACTCCTCTGCCTCTGCTTGCTGGACCTGTTGGGTGAGTTGTTGTTGTTGTTGATCTTGATTGGTTTTCCTTCTTTTCTTTTTGTGGTTTCGGTTTGTTCCTGATACCTTCTTCTCTCTCGCTTCTCTTATCTCCTCCACTAAGAACCGCGCTATCTATACTCATTGTGACTTTCGATGAAGCGCATCCAATTACGTCGTCTACCATTGCTTCTCTCCTCTTTGTACTAGACACTGCACCTACACAACCACCCCCATTACCTCAGATTATCCGACATAAAAAAAACGTTTCAAGTGTGCCCACAGTCAACAATCTAATGTTATCATGTTTCAAGTGTGCCCACAGTCAACAATCTAATGTTATCAATTCTAGAGTCAACATATGAAGTTCAGATTATGCGTACCTGAACCTTTGGCTTCAGCCTGGTGATTAGAAGGTTCATTGAGCGTGTTACTAGCCGTTCCAGAGCCACCGTTTTCTGCTGATTTTGCATCGTTGCTGGGAGATGAAAACAGTATGTCTTGAAGTGCGGGATCAGCAAAACAGCTAAGCCCGGTCTCTTCGAACTTGCGACACCTGGCAAGTGTCCGCCTGATGAACGCCAACGCCACTGGTCTTGTGACTTTGTGGGCTTTATATGCTTTATTTCCACGGGATGCCTGTTTTCAGAGTAACATCCATAATTAGGGAACCAACCCCCCATATATATCTTATCCAACAACCCAAATTTTATTATGATATACAATGTAAGTATTCAGTAGCTTATTACCATTCTTTTCTTGTGAGCTGTTTCCACAAGCTGGTCCATAGCAAGCTGCTCAATTTTCCTGAATATAAACCTGAAAATCTTAGCAAAAATAACAGTGTAATCTGAAAAATAATAAACCTGAAGAAGTCAACCCCAACCTTTTCTCAACATCTTTCCCCTTCTGGATGGTAATATGTAGCTTCTCCAGCTTTTTCCTCTTGTTTCGGATCTATTATTGGTCATACACAAAATATGATAAGTTTTCAACTGGGAAACAGACGAAAACTCTTCCTAGTGACACAAACGATACAAAGCATATAACTTATTTCTTTCGCATTTACCTGCTGATAAATGCCTTCCTTCAACTCCATAACATCTGTGCTCATAGTTTCTTCAGCCAGATCAGGCTACGAATAATTACAAACGAAAATAAGTGAACACGTTAGAGTAAAACGTTTTCTCCTTTAGCTCAAGTTCTTGTCAGATTAACTAACTGACTGGAAATAAAACCTACCATGGCCTCAGGGAACACACCAATGCTCTGTAGTTCCAAAAGAAGTCGCTCATCCAAAGACATAAGCTGATACTGTGTGTCAGATACTGGAAAGTTGAGAATGTTCACTTCCCTAGCTTGCAATTGACCCATGCTATTTGAATATGTCTCACCGGCGAGTGCAGCATCTGAATGTGAAAGCTCATCATCCCCAATCCACCGTTCGTTGCCATGGACAGATATAGACATGCTACCATTTCTGAAAGGGTTAGTTACAACACTCCTCTCACTGGAAAATCTGTCAAACAAACAACTCTTCGGTGTTTGAAAATCCCCGCTTGACTCTACTTCAAGTTCCATTCTGTCTCTCTCTCTGAACTCGGTGTCAATATAGGTACATGAACCCGAGTGAGAATCATCACTAGCATAATGAAGAGACAGATTCTTCCCTCCATTGAATTGTACAACTTCTTCTCCATCATCTTCCTCAATTAAGGCAGAAAGTACCCTCTTATACAACGGAGTACTTTCATTCAACTTTCTCATGTCCAATCTCTCAAATGAAAGATCAGAACATGACAACGCTGGATTTGAATAGTCAACAATTTCCTCACCAGGGCGATGTGGTGCTTTCGGCAATTTGATACCCTGAGATAGAAGGAGTCTCTTTCATTCATGCTACTTATAAATAAAAAAAGGCTATAAAAATAGACATTTATGCATGAGTTTACAATGCAACTTACCATGATGTTATAGCCATCTAAGATTGCCTCTGACAGAGATTCATCCAGTTCTTCTGCAAAATTCAGCTGTTTTTTTTTTTTTGACAATCACAAGTTAACGAGTGTTTGAGTTGGCACCTTAGAGAGAAGTCACATATATATATAATATTATTACGGTATCTTAATTATACCTGATCTTTTACGTTCTGCATGTCATCTGCATTTATAGCAGCAAAGATGTGGTCCATCTTTTTCCAAAAATTACCCGAACAAGCAAGATCTATAAAAAGGATATTTGAAGTTAGAAGAAAATTTATAGCAAGACAACTTGAAAGACAAGAGTTTTGGAAGGATCAGTACTCGCTGCCTTTCGTGCTGAATTAGCTGCTGCAAAAATATCTTCACGGTCATCATCAGATGCACCTGAAAAGCCAAACAACACTACCTTAGAAATTGAATACCTAATTTTGTACAAACGAAAATAACTGTGCACGAGCTAATAATTACCAAACCTAAAATATTCAGAGTAAATCCTGTTCAGGATATATGTAGCACTTCACAGAAATTAATTTGATAATAACTACGATAACAGTGAATATTTGTAAAGGACAAGAACTCGAAGTGCCAAAAGGAAATGAATACCTGTAATATCTGGAGTGGAGATCATATTTGAGGCACGCCGCGTAGAAGGTTTACGATCTTTAACCTTTTTCGCTGGTGGACGCCCATATTTGCTATTCAGGGAAAGAGGTAGAACGTTGGTCTCTCGTATATTAAGCTTCATATATAATATAATACTTACTAGGTATAAGAAAACGAACTGAATTAGGCATAAATCACCTTCGATTCTTATCTGACGCAATCTTGACATTGTGCACAGGTTTCTCTAGTGTTAGATTCTCTGACTTAACCATCATAGGATGAAAGCCAGGAGTTGTCAATGACGAAACACCTTCACTCTTTCCTTGCTTCCATGCACCACCTCCTTTATGACTCGTTTGCATTTTATTTTTCCTCACAGGAAATAACGGCGACCCTGTTTTAGGAGTTGTGAACAAGTCACCACTCGCAAGAGCAGTCTCTCTTGTTTTATTGTCTCCAGCTCCCGAGTCCTCACTTTCAGAGAAATTATAGGGTGATGAAGCATTCTTCAGCTCTCTTTTCACTTTTAAAGGGCTGCTATCAACAACTGAGAGTGACCCAGTGGTTCCAGGAGATGCTCTAGGACTAAAATCAGATGTTGCAAAACCTTGAGCTGAGAACTTGCTTTCAGCATGTTTGATAACAGGCGGAGCTACATTTGTTCTTCTCGTTCGAGAATTCTTAGGTCTCTGGCCACCCCATTGAGCCATGGAAAGTGCAGATGAACCTGCTGGCAATTGAAGCTTTAGATTGTTTCTCATAAACATAACAGATAGTGTATTTAGAGAACATTTATATTGCCTCTAACCTTGTAATACTCCAGATGGGGGATCGACTTTAATTGACGAATCAACACCCATAACGGCTGCTGTTCTTGGAGCCCTAGAAACATTTCCTTTCAATATTGCAGTAGAGCTGTTTGGGGGGCTATCATCCTGTAAGTTTCTCCTGGATTAGCACAACAGTGCATTTTATCAGCAAACAATTTGCTGTAAACTTAACGCAAAATCTAGAACAAAAAAAATATGTGAGGTATCAGCTCACTTATTGTTTCCCTTGGCCACAAGCCTTTGCTCAGCAAGTACTGACCGGTCCCTTGCTATGGTAACAGTCTCCGACTCATTCCTGGATACTCCACCCATACGTGGACTGTCTGGCTCAAATGAAGACTCAAGCCTGTTAATTCCACTCACCCCGGTGGACGATTTTAATCTGCAACAAATGTGCCACGTTATGTTTTCTCTGAGAATGAAAGATATGCAAGAGGGATCAATCCGGAAAACTACACGTAGAACAGTATGCAACAAATTCTGCGGTATCCAACATAATAAAGTCATTTTGCTATAGTATTTACTGGAACATATTCAAGTTGAAATCCTGTTTAAGTGAGCAACTTAATGATCTCTGGCAATAAAACACACTGACAATATAAACATGTAGAATCTCATAAACCAAGAGGATAGCGAAGTAGGTTCCCACACTTGTACATCATGAAACCTTTCTTTGAGGCCCACTTAAGGTCCTTCAACTAGAAAATCCTCAAAATTACCTTAAATTCTGGGTGTCACAAGAACGCAACTTAGAGT